CTTGCCCATACATGCACTTGCAGAGGCCAGAGGTGGCCATCAGTGTCTTTATTTACTGTGCTCACGTGGTTATCACACACATAGCACATGGACTGAGGTCAGAGGACAACTTGAGGGAGTTGATTTTCTCCTTCCACCACGTGGCTTGTGCAGATATGGCATCAAGCACTTTTATCTGCTAAGCATCTATCTTGCCAATCCCATCCAGCTCTTTTGGTGGGGGGCAGGATCTGTCACTGCGTGTGGAACTCATCATTTCAGCTATATTGGTGGGCCAATGAGCTGCAGCTATCCACCTTTTTCCACCCCCCCAGTGATGAGGTTATGAATATGTACAGCTACTCCCTGCTTGTTTATGGCTTCTGCAGATCCAAACTTATATCCTTAATGTTTCAGAGCAAACATTTCACCCACTGAGCCATCTCTCCAACTCTTACCTTTGTTTTAATGTATAGCTTGTTTGACAAAATCATTGAGCTTGCATCTCCACTACTCCAGAGACTTGAAGATGTGTCTTCCTGGGCCTGGGCTTGTGCCTGACCTACACTGAGCCTATGTGGGCATGTGGGAATGCACACAGGACTTTGGGCCTTTAGAACAAACCTCAGGGTCACCTGAGGCTCCCTCCCCACCTGGCATTTTGTGTGAAGGCTATAGGGTACAGCAAAAGTATACTGTGCAGGGAGGGGATTGTCACTGTGGAACGTGACCCTGTAGTTCATGATTTCAATGACCTGTTCCAATTCTCTTCCATTTATTTAAAAATGATTGTATGATTGCATTATCCCTTGTTTCTTTTTATTTCATTATTATTTTTCCTTTCTGAGTAAAGCTGATTCATAAATCTAATCCACACATTGATGTTTCTTCTAAATTCTGGTCATGAATAACCAGATGCTTTCTAGATCTTTCTATTGGTGTCCTCCGATAGACCCAGGCCTTCATCCTTGGGAGGCTGCGCTGTGCATGACTTAACTTTTAAATGAGCATCCTAAGAAGGAAGGCAGACTTCCTTCTTAGCTTTGCATGAAGGTGAGGAAACAGCCGGCTGAGAGTGGAGAGCTGGTTCTAGGTAAGCAAGCTGGTTGGTGGCAGAGCAGGTACTACAAGCCCCAGTGAGTGGCACAGCTCTTGTCCAGGTCTCTGTGTGCTGTGGAGGAGGCCAGAGCAAGCAGGACAGTTCAGGCACTGAGGCACTGAGCATGGGTGTCCTCTCCACTCACTGCTGTCTTGAAGACCTGTTACCAGATCCTAACACTCAGGTTCTCAATGGCCTTTCGACTTTGAACCTTCCTCCTGACTCCTTAAACCAGTTGTCAATCTCAGTGTTAATTCTGCTTTTCGTGTCTCGAGCTCAGCCTCTAGCATCTCCATTCTCATCTCATTCTCTCTCTCATCTCCCCCCAGATCTCCTCTCGTGTTTTCCCATCATTTCCACCCTCGTCTCTGCTTGAATCTTTTTCCTGGTCTCCTGGGCTCTCCACATCTTCAGAACCACTGCAAGAACTATCTTTCTACATATCAGAACACCATCAAATTACCCCCCCTTACCTTAAGAGTCCTCCCCAGACCATTGTTCCTGCAGGATAAAATCCAAACCTTCAACCACAATAGCCAAGATTCCTGTCTCAGAGTCCTCAAATACCACTGATATCACTATTCTCCAGCTGTCCTCTGTGCTACATTCCATTCTGTGGCCCCTGAGCTGTTTCTTCTCATACTTCCACACTCTTGATTAGATCACCTAGTGTTTCCTCCATATCTGGAAATACTCCCCATTCTTCTAGGTTAAGTTCAAATATACCTTCCTTATGAGCCCCTCACATTATTGTTTCCTCTCTGAGTTCCCTTGACACTTCTACTTTGCCATTCATTTGTTTACAAATTCATTCATTCTTTCACTCAGAAAATAGCTATTGGACTATTTATCAAGGCAGTAACTAAGGACACTGGGAGTGTGTGCATGAAGCTTTTATTGTAGTAGGAGGGCAGGCCTTAACTGACTAAACAACCTTATCATGTGCTTGTGGGTGCTTGCTTTCTCACTGTGTAGGCCCTATGCTGAGGTGAGGATATCCTGGGTATCTTTCCTACAGCACAGGCTGAGTTACCCCTGCCTGCACTCAGAAATGCTGGAATGATAGCCCATATACTCACAGATAACATCTACCAATGTTCATACACAGTACAGAGTACTCTATGTCTCTGTGACTGGTCCCTGCACTGAGCAGTGAGTTCTATTTCACTCCTCCTGTGGGTCATGAGCATTGATTCTGAGCTCTGACAATCCACACAACACTCCTTTCAGTGGTTTTCATCAGTCCCTTTAGGAAGTTAAGGATTCTGGGAACTGTCTCAGCTTCTCTCTAGGTTCCTCAGGAATGAAGCAGTCTACAAAAACCCTCTGACCTCTCTAGACAGTCAGCTTTGGTCTTCTTAACATTACAAAGAGAGCTGAATTGAAATTTGGATGGATTTCATGTTTATATCAACTCAGCACCGTGTGGGCAGACTTCCTTCTTAGCTTTGCATGAAGGTGAGGAAACAGCCGGCTGAGAGTGGAGAGCTGGTTCTAGGTAAGCAAGCTGGTTGGTGGCAGAGCAGGTACTACAAGCCCCAGTGAGTGGCACAGCTCTTGTCCAGGTCTCTGTGTGCTGTGGAGGAGGCCAGAGCAAGCAGGACAGTTCAGGCCAAAAGCTGATAGGGTACAGGAAGAGGGTTGGGGGAGGGACAGTGGAGAATGGGGAGGAGGAGCCTTACTGATGAGAGTTAGTGAAGGCAGATAGTAACAAACCTGGAAGACAAATGGCTATCTGCCTGCATGGCAAGAGTTAAAGTCTGTTTTTGAAATGCTCTCAGAGAGCAGGGGTCATTAATAGGCTTTCTCCCACCAAGCGTCTCTGCCTGAAATCACTCCCTAGAGCTCAGATTTTAGACACATGCAGCAAACAACACCAACAAAACCAAAACAGCTCTAAAAAGAATATCTCAGATATCCCAGAAAATGTTGCCACAGGATTTCAAAATGTTTGTTTTACATTCCGTGGAAATCTGACCCTGGACAGGCGTGGGCACTGAGATTGGGGATGCTGGTGCTATTTGCCATAGCCTTAGAGTAGAAGTGCAACCCGTTAAAGGCTTCAGTCATTTGGGTTCAGCTGAACTTCACAGGAGTCTTCTGGTGCACTCCACCTAAATAGTAAAATAAATCATCCTGCATTCCTAAGCTGCTGGTCTATTAGCTTGTCACTGTCTCTTTAGGTGCCACCCCCTACCCCGAAGGAACCCAGACTGAGTTGTTACACTTAACATGCTTCAGAAAATCTGGAGGTGCCATACGTTTGCAAGGAAACAAAGTCAGGGGATCAGTCAATGAATTTTATTGCAATTGTTGCCCACTCTGTGGATACATACATTACTGCTTTCCTTCTGGCTATTCCTCCCACCCCCACTCCAGAGTCAACACTTTCTGGCTAGGCTACCTTTGATTTCCTCTTTTCCCTTGGCCTTCCTCCTGCATCATTGTGCATTTGGGTCCATCTTCTACTCCTTTCCCACCTGTGGTGATTTCAGTAACAATGGCCCCCATAGACACATGCACATTTGAATACTTAGACACCAGGGAGTGGAATTCTTTGAAAGGATTAGAAAGATTAGAAGGTATAACCTATTAGGAGTAGGTGTGTCCTTGTTGGAGGAAGTGTGTCACGTGGGGGTGGGTGGGTTTTCAAGTTTCAAAAGCCATGCCAGGCCTAGTCTCTTCTGCTTCCCTTTGCTTGCTTGTTCTTTCTCTCCTAGCAAGGTCATTCCTTCAGGATTCTGGTGTATACTGAAGATTGGCTTAGATACCTAGCCTCATGGACCGAACAACTACTGGATTCTTGGACCTTTTGTTGGTATACTGTCATTGTTGGATCAGCTGGGCCATAGTTTGTAAACCATTTTAATAACTGCTACCCTCTCTCTCTCTATATATATACACATATATCCATTGTATCAGTTCTGCTCATCTAGAGAACTCTGACAAATACACCACCTTTCTTTATGTTTCATTCTTTCCTTATATTTCCTTCCTATGTAGGTACTCATTACTGTCAGATGACCCTAGAAGAGGCCAGTTTTGTAAAGTGGACTTCAGACCACATGTGGTGTGGCAGGCACTGCAATGTCTGTGTTCTTGGGGCCTGGGTGTGTGAGTAGATAAAGGGTACCTGAAGGTGTAACTAAACTAAGGATCTTACTGTAGACTGAATGTGAAATTTACCCCATCAGCTCATGTGTCTGAATGCTTGGAGCACAAATGGCAGGAGTGGGACCCAGCTGGAAAAAGTGGGTTGTGGCAGACAGATACTGTTGACTTAGGCTCTTCCCATCCATTATGCCATTAAGACACAGTGTTTCCTAATGTTACTAGCTCTCCGGCACTCTTGCTGCCATGCCTTCTCTGTCAGGTGGGCTTTTTTTTTTCTTTTCTTTAAATTCCTTAAAGATGATTTTTCCCTTTGAGGTAAAAGTTACACTTTGAATTAACATAATCGGCTGTTCAACCAGGTATGAAGTGTGGGTATCGGTTATCCACATATGAGGCCACATTATGGATCTCTTACATAGTTTATTTAGTTATAGAGTTGTTTCTATTTGTATTTCTTTTTGTTTTATTTAACTTCATGTTCTTATTATTTTATAAAGAAAAGGATATATAACAAAATATCTTTTAACTTGAGAACCAGAAACATCAAAGAAAGAGGAGACCTCTTTACCAACATGGGCTTTTCCTAGAGGGAAACTGAGTTGTAGAATTATTTTTATCTTCCAGCGTTTTCTCTCCTTGGGACTGTGCTCTGGGAATCTGTGGGAATCTGGCTTTCCCTAAATGCGGGGACTGTATCCTTGATAGTTAATTGCCCCAACATTTTTGCAGGTAAACTGAATTCTGTATTCCATTGCTTCCTTTACAGCAGCCACCATGGCCTTGTCAACTAATGTTACACCAATGCTAGAGTTTATATCCTGATCCATAACTTTGGGCTTTCCCCCCAGTGTCTGCTGAATGGCTTCAAATGTTCCAGCAAAACTCTATACAGCTTTGGCAGACCGGGATATAGCTTTCCATTTCATGATGTGTCCAGTAATTCTTTGTCACCACTCTTTGAAGTATAAGACCCTTATCTCACATGATAACTTAAAAAATGCTGGAACTATTATGTTGGTGGTTAACTGTGAGCATGAGATGACAGCCTTGGTACACACTGTGCTTGGTAGAAATCAAAGTCTTTCTTTCCATTCTTATATGCACCTACTGTTGAGGTCAAGCCTCTGATACAAAAATCTTCATCAGTGGCCTATGTAATTAAGCATGAGGGAAAGCATTTTCTCATGAGCAGCAATGTCTCCTGGGATCTCAATTTGAGTCCCACCTACCCACACTGTATCATATTCATTCACACAAAGCTCTCAGAACTACAGCCTTCACCTGGCCACTTGTCACTCTAGCTTCATCCTACCATCCTACCTCCAGACTTTCTTTGTCCATTCAGGAAGCTTCCTTCTTTCCTACATAATCCATGATGTGGAGGGAAGGCAGTATCCAGAAAAGGACTGGGGCTCCAGTGTCAGCCTCATTCAGAAAGCATTTCCAAGCAGAAAAATGGTGGCTTTCTTCCACCCAAAAAGAATAGTAACAAAAATGGCAGAGCCAAACAAGTTAGCCATCATCCCACACTACTGCTAAGATGCTGTCATTTGCATGGCAGGAAGCAGGCAGTGAAAAATGGCATGCAGTGTGGCTCCTTTTAATCCCTAATGCTTGAAGGGGAATTTCATACAGAGGTGTGTACTTCCCACCACACACACACACCTGGGACTGAACACTCGCTGATCTGAACGGCCTTCATTGCATGATTGGGAACTGCACACACAGTGGCTCACCCTAACAAAATGAGGACTCACCACGATGGAGCACCCTTATACCCCCTTGTCACATGTAGGCAATCTTCAGTTGTTGCTACACTCACTGCCATTGCAGGACACTGAGTAACCTTGTACATTTTCTTACACTGGTCTTTCACCACCTAACAAAATACCCCACTTCACAGGAGCCTTTCTATTCCCCTGAGAAGTCCATGAAATTTTCTTTCTTAGAATTCCCTAAGGGGTTTCCTCTTCCCTAGGCAATGTGTTAAGTCTCCTGTTGAAATTGGCTATGGATTGATACACCCAGACAAAAATTCTCTGAGTTCAAGTGTTTGAAGGTATCTTTTCAGGAAAGCTTCTAGAATCTTCTCAAAGGCAACTGTAATCCAGCTTTTCAAGATGATATGAACAAAAGATACATCCACTTCTGCTGGAATTAGAAGTGTGTGACACTATTTGATGTTATAAACTCAAACTTCCCAGCTCAGAGCATAATTCCACTTTAAGCAGGCATGTGGCCTCTGAAAAGTCCTGGTGACCATCCGTGTCCCTGAAAAGATTCCTAAACACCCTTCCTTTTCATCCCCCAATCATCAAGCATTGTGTCCTCTCTTCTTCCCATGAACCCTGCCACCAAACCACAGGGGAGGTCTAGTGGAGCTTCTTCTTAGCTTCTGGCCTCTTTTGATCACTAACTGTGTGATAAAGCTTTTTCTGTCTGCAGAGCCCTCATATACAGCACTGGCTTCTGCTCTTGTCAGGCAGGGAGCCCTTCCTGGATGCCATTATTGTCAAGATTTTCCACTGCTATTTGTGAGCTTTAGTGAGCTCACATTCTGTTTTGTTTTCTTCTTAGGAATTGCATCCTGTACTAGTCATTGATGGCTACCAAAGGGCATGATGGGAAGTGGAGAACATAAAGAATGCAGTCCGAAAATCAGGATTTCTCCTTTGAGGCTATGGCTAAGATGTGAGCCAGAGCTGGGTTCTCATGTGAAAGCTTATCTGGGAAGGGTTTTCTTGACAAGATGTAGTTTCTTTAAACCTGTTAGGCTAAGAGTCTCTTTTCCTTACCGGAGGTTGGTTGGAGGTTGCCTAATTGGTGGCACAACTCAACTCCACAAAGTAGGGATTGCTGTGCATGAGACTATTCTATATTCTATCTTACACATCCCTTTATCTGACTTCAGGTTTGTAACCTTGAAAATATTCTTTGTAATAAGTGGGCATGTAAGCTGGGTGGTGGTGGCGAACACCTTTAATCCCAGCACTGGGGAGGCAGAGACACGTGGATTTCTATGAGTTCCAGGACAGGCTCCAAAGCTACAGAGAAACCCTGTTTCAACCAAAAAAGAAGTTCTGTGAGCTGTTTTGGTAGGTTAATTGAACCCAGAGAAGCTATCATGAGAACTCCAATTTATAGTTGGTCACAAGCTGAAGTTTGGTACTAGTATGTGAAGTGAGGCAGTCTTCTGGGACTGAGCCCTCAATCTACAAGGCCAGATGTTTCCTCCAGATGGCCAGGTCAGAATCAAACCTGGGGCACAGCTGCAGGCACAGCTTCAGGCAAACCTGGTGTTGCTGGAGATTGCATGTTGTGTATAGAAACAGCATCCCACCCTTGGGGGAGTCACATGTCACATGTATTGTGCTGAGCACAGTGTGTGAAGTAGCAAGTGGAGTCACCTGCCTTGCTCACCCTGAAGGAAGGGATTGTACAGAGAGCGTAAGTTCCAGGATGTGGAGACACATATGGGAATTTTAGTCCATCTGTTCCACATGATGCTTACACTGCAGGGAGACAGGCGTGGAATGACACTTGAACAACAACTCTTACCAGCCCACAAGCCCAATCAACCAGTCTCTTTCTTTCATTTCAACCATCTACATTTTCTGTACCTGTGAGTTCAAGGTCCACAAGGTTTTCAGCAGGGCCCAGCAAACATCAGAACAGCCTGGCTCTCTAACCTCCAGTTCTTGCATATGAGATAGCAGCACGATTATTGTGGTAGCCTGTGCCTCAGCTTTCAGGTCCCTTGAAATAATCACCACAGTAGTTGCTAGAAACTCCTCCAAGTGCCAGATGCTCTTTTTTTCTTTCTGTTGGGTCCCTCGGCAGTAACAGGTATGTGTGAACCTCCTTCAAATCCAAACTCCTGCATACAGCTCCATCTAAGCATATAAATGGATTAGTGCTCTCTTGAGCATCCAGGCTAATCTCAGGCTTTGGGAGGT